TATCTTCAAAAATACTCCATCCCACCACCGCCTTGCTTTGACCTTGCGGTAATTATCAAACTATTGTCAACTCCCGATTGGTACTACCATCGTCATCATTATAGACCTTTTTTTTTTGTTTTCGAAGGGAGTAGCAGAAAGTATATGCCGTGGTTTGCACGGATGTGCTTGTAGAGGTCCATGCAAGTCAGGAAATATTTGAAGGTCATTCCCCAATTATAATAATATATATATGTATATGCATATATACATATACGGGGATGAATAAATAGGAAAATAACGGCGAAAATCGGCTTGGTGAATCTCTATTATTGTTATTATTTTTCTTTTTTGTCGTTGTTGTTAAAGAAAGAAACATAAAGTTTAAGAACAAAAAAAAAAGCGAGAACAAGAAACAGTGATGGGAAACATGAAGAAAAAAAAAAGAGAAGGAGGATAACTTTAAGAAAAATTTTGTAGATATGATATATGCCGCCTTTTTTTTTTTCTTTGGATGCCTTTTAAATGTGATGGCGTTTATATTGTTGGATATATGTTTTTTTTTCTCATCCCTTTTATGTTTTCTATTTTATTCATTCGATTTAATCCTGTAGTGACAAGAGTGTTTTTTATTGGATGAGCCGAAGTAAATCAATGGCCATTGCGTTGGACAGTGAGTTCCTTAAAACCCACGGAGTTGTCCTTACGAGATCTGTTGCGTTTGTTCCATTCTCTTTTGTTAGGGAAACAACAGGTATATCGCAGCAAAAGCAACAAATACCAAAGTGCAAAACATCTTTTGGTAATCCTTTTGTTCTTAGCATCAGCCCTAAGGAAGTAATGTGCCGCGCAGATTTACTCCCTTGTGGTCATTCTCTTAATTCAATAGTTCAATCCTCCGTAGTAAGTGGAGAAAAGTTAAAAAATATTCAAGAAGAATATAAACAATTAAAGAGTAAAACTACTACAGAGAGTTTTGAAGAAAAAGAATATACGGAAAATAATAATTATTCTTCACTTACAGATTTTGATTCACTTTGTCCCCATAGCATCCCGAATATTAGACGTCTGGATAAGGCATGGGTAGAATCCGTTTATATGGCACCAGTAAATTCACTAGAGTTTCGAGATGCGGCTATGCAATTAAATCACCTTCGTGCTTACGGTAAAGGAAGACGACGTCAACGAGCTTTACCCTTCCTCTTGCGGTATCATCCGAAACTTTTACAAGATATTTTACGATCATCGTTTCCTTCAGCTAATGCATGGTGTTCATGGTTAACAATGTGTGGAGATTTAGTTGAAAGAGAACTTCAAAAATTAGGGGATGAACATCGTCAATTATCGGATGTTTGTACCTTTGAAAATAGTCAGGGAAAATTAGATGACAAGAAAAAGGGAAATTTTCCTCAATATAAAGAGTGTAATACCCTTGAAGAATTTTCATATGAATTAAATCGCACTTGGTCTTCTTTAATGGTCTCCGTTTCTAGTGGGGGTAGTAAATTTTACTGCTACGGTGACGGCGATTTGAAGGCTATACAAAATACCCTCCAATTAAGTTGTAAAATGTTGGAACGGCATTCCTCTTCGATAACAAAAAAAACGCAATCGGTTAACACAAAAACTTTCAATCATCAGCAAAATGGTTTTGAAGAGGGTGAAGATGGGAAGAAAGAGGTTCTTCTCGGGTCGGGGGCCGGGTGCGGGACCGTGGACACCGGCAGACTCCTCACCTCACCGCATCAGGCGAGGCCGCTGGACGCGACAAGGCACCCACTTTTTGCCGCCGCAGGGTTTCGCACCTCCCCTGGGGCAATCCCGGCGCTAACGGAAGCATTGAAAAAAGCCGCCTTGGCTGATGAAACGGCGGTGCGGTTGTTAAAAGAAAACGCTCCGCACAATCCCGTTTGGGATGCGAGAGCTTTGGCTTGTGTTTGCGCCTCTTGCGGGATAGGCCCCCCATAAAATTAAACCCGAATAAAAATAAAAAAAAAAACTTTTATGTATCCTTCTTTTTTTTTTTTTCTTTTTGTTATTTCTTTGGTGGGTAATCGATCTTTTTCTTGTGTATCCTCTTTTCTTTGGGTTATGTTTTTTTTTTTTTTTTTCTTTTCCTCCTGCCCCTAGAAGAGGAGAGGGGAAAAACAAAAAGAAATAAAGCATATTTTTTCTCTTTTGTCTGTGGTGGGGTTGAAAAAAGTGGACGAGTAGGGGATCGAACCCTAGGCCTTCCGTATGCGAAACGGACGCTCTACCACTGAGCTACACGCCCCATGATTCACAAAGAAGTTATCTAAATATTTGTTTTAGACCTTTTTTAAATGATAAAAACGCAACGCTGACGGGGGTCGAACCCGCAACCTTCGGATCCGGAATCCGACGCGCTTCCATTGCGCCACAACGTCTTGATTACGAAATAAGAAAATAAAGATAAAATAAATGAAAAAAAGAAAAGTTTTTTTCTCTGTTTTTTTTCATGAAAAAAGTGTAAACGAGAGAACAACACACTTTTAACCGTAGCCGCTATAGCTCAGTTGGGAGAGCGTCAGACTGAAGATCTGAAGGTCCCTGGTTCGATCCCGGGTGGCGGCATAACCTTTTTTTCGGTTTTTTGAATTCTCGAATGTTTTTTCCCTATACGATGTTATTTTGCAAAACCCCAACACTTCTCTTATCGGACCGAAAGGGAACCCATTTCTAGGAAATAAATAATATTTTGAAAAAAATGCGGGTGGAGGGATGGTGTTTTTCTTCTTTCTTTCCTCTTCCTTGGGGTTGTCCCGGAGGGGCCGAAGGGATTTGTTCCGGCGCGGGGCGTGGCGTCCCGTTTGAAAAAAGGGAAAAAAAAACAGGAAGATTCGGGGACAGTCGGGCCAAACGGGCCCCCGAACCAAACCGGTTCCCGCCGCAATTTATTTGTTTTCCCCGATCCCGGGGGCGAGGGAAAAAGAAAATTCGCCGGGGCGGAGAATAGTGCCGAGCCCTTTGTTATCCACATTTCTTCTCCATTCTTGTTGCGGTGTTATCTTTTATTTCCTTGGGGCAAATTATCACTATATTTTTCTTTTTATTTTCTAAAGAAGAGAATTGGTAATGGCTTAAGGAAAAATGTTGTAAAAGAATAGTAATAATAATAATTTAAAAATCTCTGTGTGAATTCCTTTTACCTAAATTGTCATCCAATTTTTTAAGGAACCTCCATTTGGGAAGAAGCAAAATTCAAAATTTTGTGTATAAAGAGAGTATTTTCTCTTTGAAATACATTTTCTTCTAAGGCATCTAACCCCCTGAAATCAAATCAAACATTAACAATTAGATACTTTGGAAGATCGGTGAAGAGAAGGGAAAAAAAATCTTTTTTTTAAATTTTTTATTACATTGTACTACGTTATCTTATTTCCATAATGAAATTTTGTGGTAACCTTCTAATACCCTTTGAACACCATATGGGTCCGTCCATGTTATCGAATCAAACTATAGTTAACATTTAATCTCTTTTACTATGTATGGCTATCCACAATTCCACTCCTCTATATACGTGTGTATATAATCATTCTTTAAAAATTTATTATCAGGGTATGTATCTCTTTATGGTTAACAGATGGGTAATGATTCTTTATTTTTATTATTTACTGAAGAACGAATAAAACTCTTTTTAAAAACCTTTATTTTCCATTACCAAGGCATCCCATTGAAAATTAAAGTTCAACCTTTCTTTTTCTCTCTATCTATCTTTGTTTCTCTCCCCACTCTTTGGGTTTATTTAACCATTCTTTAACCTAACGTTTCATTTCTTTCTCTTTCTTATTTTGTATCCTGATATAATAGGAAACCGTCTCAAAGAAGGAGAACAATAATAAATAAATAAAAAATATGAACGATGATCTTGTTAGTTTTTTTGGACGTTCTAACCAATGGAACCCGGATGACAGAAAACGTATTCTCGCAGATATAGGAAATTTAGCAAATTCTTATAATTTAACATCTCGTATTACCACATGGGGATTTACACAGCAAAGTAAATTATGTATTTATGGTGGATTACCTATAACTATTGAAGATAAAGAAAACCCTTTAACTGATAACAACTTAAAGCAAACACAACCAGGTTCCTATATATTACCTATTCAAATATGGTTAACACATCAGTACCCTATTGAACCACCACTAATATTTCTTCTTAGTACAGAACAAGGTTGTAAAGTTTCTAGTAATCATAGATATGTAGATGCCACAGGACGCTGTCATATACCAGAACTTGCGGCATGGCAACCAGGAACCTCTACTCTTTCTGCTGTTATTAAAGAATTAGAATATTTACTCGAAAAAGAAGGTGTTTCTCCACTTTGTATAGATTCTGAGGATCCATCATCACCACTAATAGATTCTTTGGTGATACCAGCACCATCACCACACGGAAAAATACGACCAACAACTCCAGAAAGTTCTTTGACAGAATGTGAAGAATCTGATAATTGTGTGGTATGTTTTGGACCTAAAGATACTGTACTAGTACCATGTGGTCATTATTGCTTATGTGGAGCATGTGCAACAAATGTACCTCAATGCCCTCTTTGTCGTCAATCCATTAAATTTCGTCAAAGAATTTTTACGTGACACTCAATAAAATGACATCAATTTATATATATATATATAACAATTTTCCTTATATCATTTACAACATTGTCTGGAAAAGCAAATAAATACTTAGGTCCCAATAATAATAATGGTTATAGCAATCATAATCATAATCAAACCAAAAAAAAAAGTAATGTCTCTGAATAAAGTGGTTTTATTTATTCTTCTTTTTTGTCAACACTTTATCTATCTAATACATTCTCAAAAAGAGAAAAAAATTAAGAGCTAAGAAAGATCCACATGCATCGTCTGTTGTGCACTGCGCTGCTCTTGCTGTGTTGTGCCTACGGGTGCATTGCAGCTGTTGTGCAACCGCTACCGCAGAAAGGACAGGGTCCCTGGGACACGTACACCGTTGCTGATACTGAAACTGATCCTAATTCTGAGAAGAAAAAAGGTTTTCAACCCATTCGTTTTGCTGTTTCTGCCAAAGAAGTGGATAGGGTTTTGAGGATTTGTGAACATTTGAGCGATGGTTTGGATGTTGATCAGAGTGAAGATGAAAGAGAATATGGATTTAAACTTGATATTAATGAAATCAATGAAGATTTTTGCGATTGGCCAAACAAGGTAACACCGGATAGGAAAAGAACGCTTTTAAGAAAAGTTCTTCCTGCTGCTCTCAAGTTACACAGTGAACGTCTCAGTGTTAAGCGGGAAGAGGAAAACTTGATAGTGAGAAAGGACGTGGATAAATTTTCGTCCAAGTGCCCAAATGTCTCAATTCCAAAAGAGCATCACCAAGGTATATCCAACGCTGATTTTGTGCTGTATGTCGGTGTTACAGATGAGCATGTACCTGTGCAGATTTGCAGTAACAATACAGAGGGTCGTCCTACATCTGCTTTGATTAAATTCATTCCCAAAGAAATTGATGATACGAGGTACTTTATTCGTTTTGCTGCACATGAGGTTGCACATGCTCTTGGTTTTGATATTGAAATAATGAAGGAGAACAATGTGATTGAGGAAAAACTAACAGACAAGAAGGGAGTCCCTTTGGTGAAATCCAAGACTGTTCTTGATAGGGTTGTGAAAGAACACTACGGTTGCTCTAATTCTGATGAAATAAAAGGATTGCCTTTGCAAAGTAAACCCACTGAAAAGAACCCTCCACACTGGAAGCGTCTGATTGCGAAGGATGAGTTGATGAGTCCGTACAACGCTGACCCTAACGTCAAGTATGTGACTGGGGCGTACTACACAGCACTAACACTTGCTGTATTTCATTCTATGCCATTCTACAAGGCCGACTTCGACAAGGCAGAATCGATGAGTTGGGGTAAGAATGCTGGTTGTGATTTTCTGAAGGGTGAAGACAAAAAGAAAGAAGAAGTAATCAAGAAAAACACGGAAATGTTCTGCAGTGAAATCAATCTGACTCCGCAATGCACATCTGATCGTTTTGCACTTGGGAGATGCTCGATGAAGATGTCGGGAGAATTTGAGGATAAGCTCCCTTTGTATTATCAAATCTTGTTTACCTCAATTAACAGTGATCCTGAGAATGAACTGACAGATGGTTATACCATTATTAAACCATTTTTTTCAACAAGTTGTGAGAATGGTGAGGTGGAGTACATGCCTGGCAGTCTTCGGGGGAAGGAATCACGATGTCTGAAAGGTATGGATCTGACACTGAATAATCGAAACAAAAGGGATCTCCCCGTTGGTGACATTTGTGCGAATGTGAAGTGTGACAAAAACACCAAGAAGGTATCGGTACAGTACAGTGGTACTAAGGATTGGCAAGAATGCAAAGATGGGAAGGTTGATGTCACGG